AATTATAACAAGCACAAAATGGTTACGAGGTTGGTCGCAGAAACTGAGCCCATACTGAGAGTTAAGAGATCTGAAACCACATTCTCGAGACACTAAAGGATGGAGGAGGAAAGAAATGGGAAATGGAATGAGGATAAGAGGAGAGATAGGCTGTGCATGTGAACCTGAAGAACACGAGTCAGACGAAAATGGAGACCAAAGGCTGACAGAGAGACAGATGGTCACTCCCACAGGGCCAGACCTGACAGAGTAATCACCAATGAGATGATGGATGACCCTCATGTTTGGAAGTGGGAGGCTAGAATGGGAAAGGGAGACATGGATTCAGCAGGCTTAGGAATAATTACAGAATGGTGAGGTTGAGAAAGAGGAGAAACCAAAGCAGACAACGAAGATTGATGTTGGGTCACCTCAGCCTGAATCTCCAATGAGTCATGAACACCACCAAAGCCCTAAGGATGAAGAAATGAAGCCTGATGAAGATCATGGAGATAAGTGTGAAGGAGGCATATATTGGCTAGAAGAGCATCCTCTTCCAAACAAGTCCCAAGAACAGAGGAACCAAATAAGAAGGGATACACAGCAGGAGTAGAGACCAGTGTGGTGAAAAGAAGGGAATAAGCCTCTCCAGAAAACCTTTCCGGAGCACAAGGTGAAGTGATGAGAGGTAACACAGGAAGGCAGTAAGAAAGAGAAAAAGGTGCAAAATTTTGGCCTTATGAAACAGAAGTTAAGGGGTAAAAAATATTTCAATAACAGAAAATTGAGAAACAAAAATTAAGAATGGCTGTAAGTAAGGACAAAAGAGCCAAGCAGACGAGGAGGATGAGACTTGTTACTACGGATGTGCAACTGTTCAATAAACGAGTCTGCAAGGGCCTAATATTGGGCGAAGAAGTGAAGACACAGTAGTCTTGAGTATGGGTTTCACGTAGTACAGGAGGAATCAAAATACAAAAGGGAAAGAGAAAGGAGAGAACATACCTGCAAAATCAGGTCAAGGAAAATATTAGAAGGGTGTGGTTATTCCTTCACAGATAAAGCTGTACCTGGAGCAAACCCTGGTTGGGAAAATAGCCAGTTAAAATCAATATCATCCTGGTCATGTTCAAATAAGAGAAAATGAATATCAGCCAAATGGACAGGAGAAGGTGGCCCAGTGTTTATGAAGAAACCCACATCATGTTGAACAGTGGCTACTACAACCACCAAAAATGAGAAGCCCCCAGTAGCCACATGTCATATGGTAGGATCATAGTAACTATCACGGGATGAAGTGAAAGTTACCATCATTTCATAATTCATAAAGGCAGGAAACACCATAATGATAGTTTATCTAATTAAAAGTAGTGAGTCACAAACACTAAACCTAAATTAAATTAAATTTACTAGAAGACCATTGCAAATCTCAAGTAATGGATTAACAATGTTGAAACAAGTCCTTTCTAGACGGTGCCTCAACTAGGAAGTTATTTCATGCACAAGTGCTTAGGAGGAGATACTGTACAAGAAGGTTGTGTTTCCCTCTTTTTGGAGAAGGGCTAGTATCGCATGGTGATGTCATCATGCTTTAGTGCAGTTCATGTTAAACACACATTATTTAAGTGGGAGGTAGCTCAAGGCTAGTGGCATGCACATCTCATAGGCAAATGCATAAAGGAATCAAGCTGTTCTGTGTCAGGAGTCATCTCGAAAGTACTCTGAGTTTGTTAACAAAACACCCTAACTCTTATTTACATAGCAAGTGGTTGAGGAGAATGGTCTGTTGATTGTCTAGAAGTGAGGACTTTTCTTTTATACTTGGTGTAAGCCACGTTTAACAGAAGGTTTTCTAGGTCTATAGCTGTTGGGTTACGACTCTCGGGCTGTCGCTTGATGCACACAGTTGTTTCGTAGTCTACCCACACTTGCAAGTTACATGCTTTGCAAATCAATTTGACCTGAAAAAATCATTACATTTTTGTAAGATGATCTAGTATTTTAACTACAAACAAATGTTTTCAAAAATTCATGTTATAGTACAAATCTTAATAAAAGCTTTTCAAAATAAATTAAGTCCAACTAAAAATTCTATCTTGTACATTTTATATAAATTCTGTTTGTAACTTACTTAAGAAAAAAGCAAGTAATGGATCAATATTTCTTACAAATTTTTTATATAAAATCATAATCAAAGCTTATCTAATACAATGACAGAACACAAAGAAATATTTCAAGATAGTCCAACAAGTTCTAGACTATACAGCTAGTATATTCTTCTAAATGTATTTAATGTATTGTTTAATCCTTGATTAAATCTATAATGTACAATTCATTTTCTGATAACTTAGAATTTAACTTTGTTTATAGATGGCTAAAATTTTTTTACTTCTTAGATCTTGCTCGTTGTTTGTACAACATATTATTTCATAAGTTATTTTCATCTGCAGTTCCTTCACATTCTTGGTCTAGATGTCTGAAGAGTTACAAGCTCTAGGCTTCAGATGCTCCTTTATACACTGCTCTAAACAATGCATGGGTTACCCCACAATCGTTTTCACAACAAGAACACATTTATCGATAAACAATGCAAGACCTTTGAAGTTTATAAATTCTGTTCTTTAAACTCAACATTGATTTTAAAGCCACAGATATTGAAATTTATGGATAGTTTAATTTCAAGATCTTTTTTTTTATTTTATTCCTTAAATTATAACTGTCTTTACCAATAAATGAGAAAATGATGTAGAAAGGCAGTGTTCATCATACCTCACTTTACAACTACATTTTAAAACAATGTTGAACAGAGTTGTTT